TATATATAAAAACCCCTCCTGGATAGAAGGCTCTGAGCCTGCCTGTTTCTATGTTATGTATGTCATAAATAAATAGCGTAAAATATTGCATAAATATCAGAAAACAAGTATGTAAAACTACAGAAAAATAGCACACTATCTACTTAATAGTGTAATAATTTAACTCAGAATGGTGGTGGGTGTTGACTTTATTCCTCCCGGTTACTTTAGTGAGTTTGTGCAGCATCGTGTAGTGGATTTCCAAGTTGTTTGTACAGCAGCTCTGGGGGTGTTCGTGCAAGGCGGGATTCACAAGGAGACATTAAATTTTGGTTGGTGCACAAGGGTCTTTTAACCCATAACGAAAGTTGAAAAGGTCCAAGAGTTCCATTATTTCCTCAGTTTTAAAAACTTGAGGGTTTTTCTTAGAAGCGTGGATAAAATGCTTGTTAAAAAGGCCCAGTAGAACGTGCGGTCCCAAGATTATTATTAGAGTAAGGTGATGTTTTCTTTGTTTTCAGAACAAAAATAAATGACTGGGAAAGCGCATTTTTGAAGTCAACTGGTGTAGGCGATGATGGCTGAGGCTTCCAGTGGTTTGTGTACCTTGTGCTGCTCTAAGTCCTGCTCGATGGGAGTGTAATGGTTTCACTCCAGTGGGTACCAGTCTCCGAATTGGGGTGTGAGAGCAGCAGGGAGGGCCCCAGTGGGTGCCCAGCCCTTGGAGCCCATTGGGCTGCACTTGCCATCAGCTGCTGTGCTGTGACTGTTCATAATTAATGAACTTTTGACACGTTTAATTACCTGGGATGAGCGGGGGTTTGTGCTCCAGACCCTGGTGAAGGATGCACCTCCATCGGTTCACCTGAAGCAGGTATCCATGCACACATGAGCCGGCTGCAGGAGGATGCTGCTGTGTTAATTTTCGGCTCCTGTGGGTCCATCTGAACCCCAGAATGTGAGGAGTTGGAAGGGCCCTGGAAAGCTCCCCCAGTGCAACCCCTGCCAGAGCAGGAGCACCAGAGCAGTCACACAGGAACACGGCCAGGGCTTTGGGTGTCTGCAGACAAGGAGACTCCACAACCTCTCTGGGCAGCCTGGGCCATGCTCCAGAACCCTCACACTCACAAAGTTTGGCCTCATCTTCAGCTTGAACCTCCTGTGCTCCAGCTTGGGACCATTGCCCCTTGGCCTGGCATTGGCCATCCCAGAGCAGAGCCTGGCTCCTTCCTCCTGACACTGCCCTTTCCCAATGGATCCCCAGGAATGAGGGCACCCCTCAGGTTCCTCTGCTCCAAGCTCAAGAGCCCCAGCTCCCTCAGCCGCTCCTCAGCAGGAGATGCTCCACTCCCTGCAGCATCTCATCTCTGTGGCCCTGCTGGACTCTTTCAAGCAGTTCCTGTCCTTCTGGAGCTGAGGGCCCAGCACTGGACACAAGATTGCAGCTGTGGTGTGAGCAGGGCAGATGCTCCTGTTCCCAGCACAGGTGCTTGCAGGGCTCTTGTGCTCCCTCTGAAGCGACTCCTGTGCTGCAGGGGGTGTGTGGGGCTGCTCGAGGCTGCCCAGCCCATAGGAGTTGTCATTGCACTGCCTTATGTAGGAGTGTGATCACAGGAGGCTGTATGGACAGACTTAAGGTGACAGTGTTTAGGTGATGGTTAGGTTTTGCTCTTTAAAGAGTCGCTTTTTTACTCCTCAGTAACCTCCCTTTGAGAAATTTCCATTGCTATGAGGTTTTTTTATCTGCTGCCTTTCCCTTTTACTCCTCGTGGTGTAAAGGAAAGAGGAAGTTGGTCTTTTCTGAGTCTGAACTATGAAGTAAATGGAAAATGTGATGCTCTATGTACGTACCGAGAAGGGTTTTTAAAGTGGGGATCTTCAGAGCGTACGTGAAGCTCTTAAAAAAACCCAGACCTGTGGGAAGCTGCAAGTCTTGGCCTTCTGCACAATAATCACTTGCATATCCACAAGATATCAGTGCCTCAGGTCTTTGTGTACCGTGGAATTGCCCCCACACTGGGTGTGCTGCAGGCAGAGTGCACAGGGAACGGAGCTGGGGCCCGTGCCCTCTTGGAAGAGGAGTTTTCTTCTTTGGTTTGTGTCCCAAGCATGTTCGGTGTATTTATTTTTAAGAAAAAGGCACAATTAATCTATCTGGAAGAAGTAATAGGGGAAAGAAACGCGTGCAGACATATGGTAATATACAGAATTTAATTGTATTTATAATGCTCCCATGGTGGGGGAGCAGGGCAGGGGCTGAGGCCCCTGGGCCTGGCTTTGTGGTGGTACCGGGGCCTCCCCTGCTCGGCACTGGGACTGTGTGCTGCTGTCCCCATGCTGGCACAGGGCTGCGCTCATTGCCCGCTCCGCTTGGAGCCCTCGCGGTGCCAGATCTCGGGTGTGGAGGCTGCTGGGTGAGATGGGGGTTGGACAGGGACACATTCGTACCCCAAGGGCTCGGGGCGCTGACGGGCGCCCTGCAGACCCAACGTGCGTGGTTCCCGGTGCGGCTGCACTGCCGCGGCCCTGGGATGATGGCCTGGGTTGCGCCTGCTTAAGATTCAGGTCAGCCCCATGCAAATCCCTCATTCAGTGTCCACACACTGGGCCTTTGAAGGCTTCTCCTGACCTACATAGGGCTGGTTGGAACCCTCTGTGGCTGCTGACAGAGCGCTGTGCCTCTGTAATCTCATCCACCGCCTCCGCTGCTGCTTCTCCCGACGGACCCGCGTCCACGCCAGCGGCGCTCACGTCTCCACCATCCCTGGTAGGCCAGGCTTCGGGATACAGCAAATACGGGGACTGACATTCCCAGTGGGGATTTTGCTGGGCAAAGGGGGCTGTAGCAGTAGTTTAATGGGACAGGAGGGTACCTAAAGGTGGTTTTTATCAAGCAGGTGGGCTGCGTTGTCAGGATTTGGTGACCACAGTGTGGGAAGCACTCGTCACGTATAAACTATTAGAGTTTAAATGGGGGGTGTGTGTACATAAATATCTCTGTATCTGAATACTCTGTTGTCGTTCAGCTTTCAAACACCAGAGCACTCCGGCTTGCCTCTGTCTAGACTCTGTTTAGGAATTATTAATATTGCCATGGAAGTGGCTGATTAATACGTCGCTGCCCTGATTTTCAACCTGTCACAACGTTGTCGTTAGTTTCCACAAATGGGCTGCTCGGCGTCGCTTAGGCTCTAACGCGGTGAAACTGCCTATTAATTTTTATCTTCTTTTCTTACAGTAAAAAATGGCATTTCGGAAGGCAGTGAAAGGAACTGCTCTCATTGGAGGAGGTGCCATAGCAACAGTTTTTGGCCTCTCTCAATTTTCTCAGTATAGAAACAAACACGTAAGTATTAATTACGATTTCTGATAAAATATGAAACTTAAAATCTGTTGGAGCGTATGTCAGGCTCGTACGAAGAGCTTTGTTTGGCGAGGGGTGCCAAGAGCCTCCCGGCTTGGTTCGGCAGATGCTAATCTGGAGGCTGGCGCTAACGAGGCTGCGCTGCTGCAGGTCTTCAACCAGCGGGGACGTGGGATTCTGTTAAAGCACTTATTCACGTTTAAAAAGCGACCTTTGCGTGCGGGTAGGGGTTTTATTTAGCTGCAGGAGGAGTGGAAGGCACTGATTGAAGGTAAGTAGAGTTTTGGGTGGTGTTTTCCAAATCAAAGCTGGAAATCCCAGCTCCGCTCCCTGCAGCATCTCTGTGGCCCTGCTGGACTCTTTCAAGCAGTTCCTGTCCTTCTGGAGCTGAGGGCCCAGCACTGGACACAAGATTGCAGCTGTGGTGTGAGCAGGGCAGAGCAGAGGGGCAGGAGAACCTCTCTGCCCTACAACCACCCCTTCTCATCCACCCCAGGATGGCGTTGGCCGCCTTGGCCACAAGAGCATGTTGCTCTGGAAAATGGGTTTAACTGGTGTTTCCGCTCCTCACGGTAGAGTCAGAGTCATCGTGCTCTTTAATTCACTTCTCCATGCAGAAGCCAAGGAGAAATCATTAAAGGAGCACGAGTTGTGGCCTGGTTTTAGGCAGAGCTGGTAGGGATTGACACCCACTCTGTTAAAGCAAATACTGCACCCTGTTGTGATGCAGTTGTGCTGTGCTTTGGAGTTCTGTGGAATGGCCACGGCTGGGCTTAGCAGACACACGTAAGGGAAGGGGTCTCCTGATTTCGTGTTAAATGTGGGCTCTGAGCCTGGCACCTCGTGTGAGGTGGTAGAAGTTGGTGTAGCCGGAGCTCACTGATCTCCTTCAGTCTGGGTTTGGGTACAGCTCCAGCCCAAGGAGGTGCTGTAGGTGCTGGCTTCACGTGGTGTTTTCTGCTCCTCGCCTCGGAAATGCGATCAGCCCAAGCTGTCTGGACAAGCTGCTACTCTGCCTTGCTTACCACATCTACCATCAGTTTTCCAACTGGGCAAACCAAAAATAGGAGCAGGAGTGGCTCTCACTGCTTTGGTTGAAGGTAAAGCCGTGGGCGGTGGGGAACAACCTTTACCGAGCGCCGTAAAGGTGAGCGTTGCATCTGAGGGAACAATAACCCGAATTTCTGGGTGTCTCTGTGGGGAGGAGCAGCAGCAGCACATGGGATGAGTCATTTCTGGGGAACCTAGCTGGGAAGCGGGTGCGCCAGGATCCGTATGGCTTCGGGTGCTGTTGCAGAAAATAAAACCTAGCATTTAACGTGAGCTTCCTGTCTTGCACCTAGCTGGGAATAGTGCAGTTTCTGGCTCTCTCTGGAGCCTTTAGCACAGGGTTTTACAATCTGGCTTCGTTATTGTCAGAAATTGAAGGCCAATGCCATCCTGGGGTGTATCAGGAGGGGTGGTTGTAGGGCAGAGAGGTTCTCCTCCCCCTCTGCTCTGCCCTGGTGAGACCACATCTGGAATATTGCGTCCAGAAAAGATAAGTGGAGCGCTCATCTTGCAGTCCAGCTTTCCTCATCGATGGAGTGGTAACACGTGTGCAGCACTTTTGCTATCCCGAGTAATTTACGTTATAGTCAGTACAACCCATGATTGCAGCATGAGCCTGATCACAGATTACCTGTTGAGTAATTAAATTAGTAAATTACCCACTGTCTTTGGGCATGGCTACTCCGTATTGTGCCTTATTTTCAGGTGTACAGTAGCGACAGGAGCATTGATCAGCGGTGCACTGCGATCGTAATGCTGCCGAAGAGCGAGCAGATATTTCTGGACAGCAGTATTTAGGATGTGTGCACCGTATAATCTGAGTTCAGGCTCCTTGTGCACGGCTGCTTTGGCTGTGGGTTTACAGTGGATGTGTTGCAAGAGTCACTTTTACCTTTAACTCCCGAGGTCTGCTCGCTGCTTGCCTCGTCCGGTTTAATTCAAGGAGTTTTTGGAAAGAAAAACTTAAGTGAAAGCTGCCTCGTGCGGTGGGTGGAAAGAGGTCAGGCAAATAACTCGTTTCAGATGGTGGTATTTTGTCACTTGAATCTGTCTTAGTTTGCTTTTTCCCGTCTAGGACATGTGGATATAAGCAGGTTATTGCGTTGGTTCAGTCTGCCGTTTGGACCAGCGACCGGATCACGCTCAGGCCTTAGACTCCATGCTTTAAACAGGCTTTTCTGGTGCTGAAAGTGTTTTAATTGCCAGGAGACTCTGAAAATGTTAATTCTCCGTTAAAAGAATGGAGAACGGTTAAAAGCGTTCCTCTGGGAGCGCAAGGCACTGGCAAAGCTGAAGCGAAGAGAAAGCAAACATTGAATTTCGTGGTCCTGCACCCCATTTAACTGTGAATGGCTGATACCTGCCTGCAGCCCGTTGTGTGTAAAATCAGTGTGAGGACTACGAACCACGGCCATGGCTCTCATAACGTTATTATCATCGTTATCATCATCATCATTATTTCAATTTACTATTTATTATTGATTTATCTATTTATTATTTTCAGAAAGGACCTGCAAATAGCATTTCCTTGGTGTTTTATTACACTGTATTTGACAGTAAACCAGTTCATCTCATAAGCCTGGTCAAATCTGAGCTTACATTAATGCCACTGCTCAAGTAATCAGTTCCAAGATATAAAATGTGCGTTCCTCTCTCAGTCCTTTGCTTTGCTGGGTTTTTCTGGTAGAGTTAAGAGCTGGACCATGTGTCTGTTTATTAAAATACCCCCTGAGCACCCTGTAAGATTTGACATGGCAGAAGATGTTCCTAGAAATACCTGATACAGGTTAGTACAGCGTTATATTGAGGATGAGGTAAATGTGTGCTAAGCCGTGATGGCTTCGGTACTGTTAGTCACTCCATAATGTTTTAATTCAATATTATTATTAAATATAGGTAAGGTGACTGGGAACATTCGAGTTTACCTTCATGGTTATAGGGAATGCTGTGGTTTGGTTGTGTGTGTGTGTACACACAATAAACACAGCTCCTCACGTGTGGCTTTGGATCCTCCTAGGGCGCCTTTGTGCACGTCCAGGCTGCCGAAGCTGTGACTGTTCCCATGATGAAGAATCTCCCCACGAGAGAGCAGCAGATCTTGGCCCTGCAGACCACGGATGAGTTTGACGTCCTCATCATCGGCGGAGGAGCAACAGGGTGCGGCTGTGCTTTAGATGCAGCCACCAGAGGTGAGGCTTCAGTGTCCGTGTTCTTGTCGTAAACCACGTAATCCAGTGACGAGTTTCAGATTGGCTTTTCAAAAATATGTGAGGATAAAGAATGCGTACTCTGATGTCTGGTTACAGAGCTGCTGCTCTCAGGAGCTAAAACGAACTCCAAGAGGAAATGCCATTGCATTTCGTTGTTTCAGCAGCATCTTTAGGTGCTTGTGTGCAGTTGTCCAACAGATACTGGGACCAGTACTAGTCAATGTATTCATCAACGACCTGGGTGAGGGAACAGAGTGCACTGTGAGCAGATCTGGGAATGACGCACAACTGGGAGGAGTGGGTGACACTGCAGAGGCTGTGCTGCCATTCAGTGAGACCTGGACAGACTGGGGAGAAATGTAATGAAATTCAACAAGGGCAAGTGTAGGGTCTGCATCTGGGGAAGGACAACCCTGTGGACCAGTGCAGGTTGGGGAGCAGCACAGGGGAAAGGACCTGGGGTGTTGGTGGCAGCAATGCCCATGAGCCAGCAATGTGCCCTTGAGCCAAGAAGGCCAACGCCATCCTGGGCTGGATGAGAAGGGGTGGTTGTAGGGCAGGGAGGTTCTCCTGCCCCTCTGCTCTGCCCTGCTCACACCACAGCTGCAATCTTGTGTCCAGTGCTGGGCCCTCAGCTCCAGAAGGACAGGAACTGCTTGAAAGAGTCCAGCAGGGCCACAAAGATGAGATGCTGGAGGGAGTGGAGCATCTCCTGCTGAGGAGCGGCTGAGGGAGCTGGGGCTCTTGAGCTTGGAGCAGAGGAGCCTGAGGGGGGCCCTCATTCCTGGGGATCCACTGGGAAAGGGCAGTGTCAGGAGGAAGGAGCCAGGCTCTGCTCTGGGATGGCCAATGCCAGGACAAGGGGCAATGGTCCCAAGCTGGAGCACAGGAGGCTCAAGCTGAAGATGAGGCCAAAGTTTGTGAGTGTGAGGGTTCTGGAGCATGGCCCAGGCTGCCCAGAGAGGTTGTGGAGTCTCCTTGTGTGGAGACGCCCAAAGCCCTGGCCGTGTTCCTGTGTGACTGCTCTGGTGATCCTGCTCTGGGTGATCCCCAGAGGGCCCTGCCAGCCCCACCATGCTGTGACCGATGACTTCCAGGAGCAGCAGAATTGATGTTAGCTTCACACATAGCCTTAACTCAGGGAAAGCTCACATTACAGTAAGTTTAAGCTGATGCTTTTCACCTGCCTTCTGCGGGTGGATGAGAATGTGTGTGGTGATGGTTGGTTGTTGCCCAGCAGCTGTGCAGATGTTGCCCAATAGCATGGCATTGGTCAGAGATGTGAAAAGCTCTGCTCAGGGGTGTAAAAGCAGGAGGGCAACGCCTGCTCCATCTGCATCATCCCCCTCACATGGTGACTGCAGAACTGGCCAGCAGGAACCCGTCAGATGTGACAGCTCTGGCAGAATAAGCCATGTTACCAGTTTAATGAAGACAGAGCTCCAGATCCAGAGATGAGAACAGCATGGGCACTGTGTCTGCAGGAGAGGCTGGGGCATCAACTCCTGGTCTATTAAAATGCTCTGTTCCCCCAGAATATCATAGTCTTGTCCAAAAAGCTGTGTAAAAGATGCGTGAGAAAAGCTTGTCTTGGTCTGTGTTCTCTCAGTTGCTGTTTTCAGTGCAATTAGAGAGAACCAAGCTTCCTTAGTTTGGGAAATAAAATGGGAAAAAAACAACCCAAAACCATGTAAAATATAGCAGGTAGCTCTGAAGTTCTTCATGTCCCTTAACCTGCAGCGGTGCCTCAGAATTAAGAGGCAAACCCTGACTCCGGGAGGAGTTTTTTATACCTTGATTTGGAAAATTCTCATCCAGAAGGGGTGATAAATTGGAGATCGTAAAGCAGTGAGATCCACACCATTGGTAGATACATTCAAGCTCAAACCTGGGTTTTCTTTGATGTGTCACTGTAGGTAACCTGGGATCTTTTCACTTCTGCCTCCGCTGTACTGTGGTATAAAACACACAGACGTTATTGCAGGTGATGTGTGTCTATCCTTTCACCAGATATTCTGGTGGTGTCAGTGGATTTCTGAAGTGGGAAATACTCCCAGGCGTGTGGTTAATGAGTTGTGTGTCGTTGCTGTTCGTTCATGGAACTCGCTCTTTTATTACCTTTGCTTCGCTTAATGACACATTCTGCTTTGCGTGTGTTTGATTACATCTCCACCCAGTTATTTCTGGTTGTATCCGTTGATCTTCAGCCACATTTGGCCAGAATAAATGACTCTGATCTTTGGAAGTTCCTGATGATTATTAGAGTGGGGGTTTCTATAAGGACGTGAAAGTTTTGGGAGACCCACAGATGTTAAAAAACGCATAAAGCACCCCTGAAAGAGGGCAGAGGAAAGGCCCGAGGGGTAGGTTCTGGTGCGGATGATGCTCTCATCCTTGGGGATGCATCAGCTCTGCTGTTTCCTGGGTTGGAGCACCCTGCTGCCAAGGGTTAAAGTGTTCCTGAAAATGCTCTGCTCCTGCCATCAGTGCCAGCTGTAAATTGCTGGAGGGAGGGAGCGTGTACCCTGTACTGTACCCTAATGCCGTTCTGTTGTGCAATGCCCAGGTTTCAATGTGCTGCTGTTTAAGTTCTGGTTTGGCTTTTCCCTTAGGAAGGAGGCTAAAGTTTTTCATTATGATATAGACAGCGCGGCACACTTTGAATTCACCTGTATCCATGCGCAGAGCAATTCTCCTTGTGATTGTCTGTACCCCAGAGAAGGGTCTTTAATGAGTTACGTACAAAGCGCCTCGTTTAAGAAGTCAATTCGGTTTTCTGGTAACACAGGACTGAAAACAGCCCTTCTGGAGAGATACGATTTCTCATCGGGGACCAGCAGCAGGAGCACGAAACTGATCCACGGAGGTGTGCGGTACCTCCAGAAGGCCATCATGAAGCTGGATTTGGAACAGGTAATGATTTATACTGGTTTCTCAGCAGAACTTGCTGCAGACGCTTCCCTGTCCCAATTACAGCTGAGGATCCTTTTTATTCTTCCAGCACTTGGCTGTTGAATATAGGAAGTGTGTTCTCCAGATGAGGGACATCGGTGCTGCTGCCTTTTGCTCCTGTTGTGGTTTAGGGCTGGGCTGGCCA